CCAGTGGCTCATGCCTGTAATCCTAGCTACTTGGGAGGCTCAGATTAGGAGGATTGCAATTTGAGGTTAGCCTAGGCAAAGAGTTTGCAAGACCCCATCTCCAAGAGAACCAGAGCAAAATGGACTGGAGGTGTAGGTCAAGCAGTAGAGTACCTGCTTTGCAAATAGGAAGCCCTGAGTTCAAACCCCAATCCTACCAAAAATTAACTAATTTTTTAAAATCTCAAAACTAAGAACACCAAGAAATTTCCTCAACCTCATACAAATGTGCCTACAAAAAAAAGTTGCGCCTTGGCAGACATCTGTAATCTCTGTAATCCCAGCTCTCAGGAGGCTGAGGCAGGAGGATGGCAAGTTCAAGAATAGATGGGGCTACATGGCAAAACCCTATCAACACACACACACACACACACACACACACACACACACACACATACACCCCTGACTTCATCACATTTAATGACAGATTGCTTCCTCCCGAAGAGAGGAACGAGGCACAAGGTCTAGTTGCTAGTCTGTCTTACATTGTGCTGAATGGCCTATCTGGTACAGAAGACAAGACAAATGGAGGAATACATGTTGAAAAGTAAGAGGCAAAGAAGCAAACACATAATTGTTTGTGCAGAAGATCCCAAGTCCACAGCGGGACTCCTTGAACCAAAGAACGAGTTTGCATGGTCACACGCAAATCTTTTATTTCTGCATCCTAGCAATGGACAAGGGGAAATTGATCTTTAAAGTACTTTTTATAAGTTAGGCATACTGGCTTGCACTTATAATTCTAGCTAAGGAGGCTGAGATCAGGATCCCAGTTGGAGGTCACCCTGGGCAAAAAGATCATGAGACCCCATCTCAACCAAGAAAAGCTGGATGTAGTGATGCATGCCTGTCATCCTAGGTACAGGGAAGCATAAACAGGAGGATCACAGTCCAGGCCTGCCTGGGCATAAAGACAAGACCCTATTTGGTAAATACTCAAAGTATAAAGGGTTGCGGTCATGGCTCAAGTGGTAGAGCACCTGCCTAGCAAGTGTGAGGCCCTGAGTTCAAACCCCAGTGCCATACAAATCATCATCATAATAAAAGCCATTTAAGTTGCTCAAGGAAAATAAATAGTTCTTCCTTGGTATTTATGATGGTTGCTCCCAGGACCCCTGTGGAGACCAAGATCTGTGGGTGCAGTGCTCAAGTCCCTTTTCTGAAATGTAATATTTGAATGGAGCCTAAATGCATCCTCCTGTAGACTGCAGATTAGCTCTATAGATGACTGATCATACCTGTGTAAATGCTGCATTGTTTATTGAATAGTGACAAGGAAAAGTCCTACACATGTTCAATATGGTCCCAACACAATTTTTAAAAGTGGTAGACCACCTGCCTAGCAAGCTTCAGACCTGAGTTCAAATCCCAGTGCTGCCAAAAATTGGTTGAGTCTGTGGGTGGGGACTTTTTGGAACATGTGCATATATGTGTGTATGTGTATATATATCTATATATAGGCGGTACGGGTTTTGAACTTAGTACTTCGCGCTTGCTAGCAGGCACTCTACCACTTGAGCCATTCTGCCAGTCCTGGAATGTATTTCTGTCATCCTTTCTCCTCTCCTTAATATACACTGGTGCAATTAGTGATTTCCCACATTCTCTGGCACTTCACTCTTTGTTCTGTTTCTGTTCTTTAGACTGCATAACCTTTATTCTTGTATTTTCAAGTTTCTTGATTGTGAGTGTTTCGTGTTGGTTTTTGTACTAGAATTTCCCTAGGACCTTCTTCATGACTTGTACCTCTTGATGACTCTGCTTGGTGGGACTTCCTCTGCTCTTTAGTCATGATTCCCTTTAGTTCTCTGAGCATTTTATAATGATTCCTTGCTTCTTTGTTCAGTCTGATATCTTGTCTTACTCAAAGACAGTTTCTGTTGCTCCCCCCAGTCCTCCATGTGTGGGTCACACGTTTCTGTATGTGTCTTACATTTCTTGTTGAAGAAAGCATGTTTTTGCTAGTGTACTGTGGGAGTCACAGTGACTGTCTCCTATTGGTAGTTCGCACAGAGTCTCCTTGCTTGTGACTTGGTTAGGCTGCTCTAGGAAGGCTGCTGCTCTTTGATGCCATTCACTTCCTCATGGGTATCACGTGCACCCTTGGAGCTAATTACTGTCTGTTTTGTAGTGGTTTTAATTTTGTTTTATTCAGGGTGCAGTCGGGGGCTGGGGTGAGGATGGTCAGAGCTGGTGTTCTGGGGCTGTTGGGCCTGGCAGGTCTCCATCTGTGGGCATGGTGGAGGCACTGCTACCTTGGCCACACTCTGCAGCGGTGTGGTCTCATCATTCCGGAGTTGGGAAGAGTCAGAAATCTTGCCCCTTCCGTGGGATCCCTAAGCCTTGATGTAACCTTGTCTGGGCCACACACCCCTAGAGTGCAGCATCTACCAGGGGCTGTGGTAACTGAGAGAATGGGTGTGCTCCTGCCACAGGCACTCACTGTCCCCACTAGTCTCAGTGGTTTCACTGAGTGACTGCTTCTTCGTTTGTTACAATCCAGACTGAGTGGTCTAAGTTTCACGTGCTCCACTGGGGAGCTCCGCAAGCTCCACACACCGCCAGCCCCGAAGTAGCCTCTCCCCACCATCTTTGAGGGCAGGAGATCCTGACGGGTGGTTTCCCTCCTGCAGTACGTGTGGAGAGTGAGGAGTCAGTCGTCTGCTGCCTGGGCCTCCCCTGTGCTCTTAGCTGTAGCCTTGCTCCTTACAGTGTCCTCCCTTGGCTGCATTGAGCAGTACTGTTATTAGGCACCCTGGTGTCAATCCCTTTTCATTTTTCCTACTTGGAACTCATTTCACTTCTTGGAGATTTTTCATCAAATTTGAGAAGTTAGTTCTGAGTATATTTTTTTACTTCCCTTTTTCTGAGACTCACATCATGCTGAAGTTACAGGTCTGATGATGTCTCACCAGTCTCTGTGGCTGTTCACTTTTATTCATTCTTTTTTTTTTTTTCTTCAGACTGTAATCTCAATTGGCCTATCTTCATGTTTTTTGATTCCTGCCTCTCCCTGTTCACATCTTCCCTTGAGTCCCTCTGGTGAATTTTTAAACTGAGTTGTGCTTCCCAACTCCAGAATTGCAACTTGGTGCTTCTTTATATTTACTTCTTTACTGAAATTCTCCATTTGGTAAGATGTCATTCTCATTCTGTAGTTCATCAGTGGGACTTTGTTCAGTTCTTTGAGCAGATTTAAAATTAACTACCTTAGAATCTTTGTAGAGCGAGTTCAATGTCTGGGCTTCCTCTAGAATTTTTTTTTTTTCATACTGGGGATTGAACTCAGGGCCTTACTCACACTTGCTAGACAGGCACTCTTCCTCTTGAGCCACTCTTGCCAGCCCTTTTCTGTGTTAGGTATTTTTGCCCAGTCTGGCCGCAAACTGCGATCCTCCTGATCTCTGCCCCCTGAGTAGCTAGAATTATAGGCGTGAGCCACCAGTGCCAGGCAAGGGCAGTTTATATTAATTGCTTCCTTTTCCCTATCATGGACCATAGCTTCTTCTTTATTTGTCTCCTAATATGCTTGCTCAGCTTGGCAATGGATGTCCCTTCTTTATCCCTCACTTCCTACTCATGACAAACCTGAAGGTCAGCCAGAGGTGAGAGCTTAGGGCATCATTTGGTCCTCCCTGTGCATGTGCATAGCTCTAATGTGCACTGGCTTCTGGATTCCAAGAGTCCCTGATGATCCTTCATTTACCAGGTTTGAAGTTTTCTAGCTAGTTTGTGTTACATGCTGCCTTTGGCAGCTACAGCCTTTAAAAACTGACTCTAACCAGGCACCAGCAACTCACGCCTGTAATCCTAGCTGCTCAGGAGGGTCACGGTTCAAAGCCAGCCCAGGCAAATAGTTCTCAAGACCCTATCGAAAAACCCTTCACAAAAAGGGCTGGTGGAGTGGCTCCAGGTGTAGGCCCTGAGTTCAAGCCCCAGTACCGCAAAAAAAAAGAAGAAGAAATTGCCTCGAGGTGTCCCACAAACACCTCTAGGGAAAACAGTTTTACACTAGGAGAGCTTCAGGTCAATCAAAGCCAGACTTGCTGGTGAATTTTTAGGTAGCTGCCAGACAGCAGGTTTATCCCACTCCACTGTGTTCCACTGCAGTTGTAGCCCTGGGTTTTCAAGGCTGAGCAGAGGGAGTAAACAGAGGAGAAACATGCCAGGAACTTGCTCTCACTGAGCTACAGCAGCACCTCCTATCACTGTTCTTGCCTTTGTCCCCTCACCCCACTATTTATGTCGGGGCTTACTTCATACCACCACATATTGGAATGCAGCTCCAGTGCTAACCCAGCTCTATGGGACCCTTTTGCTTTTTTCTGCCCATATTGTAGTTCCCATCTCCAACTGGGAGAAGCCTGCTCCCGCTATCCTTAGCTGATTAATCTGTCATGGGTATCACTAGGCTGCAGTCTCCTCCCTGCTGTGGGGCCTCACCATTCCTGTCTCTGTACCTCTGAGCCACCATGGTTGTCCTTAGTCCCTCTTGGCAGCTCTGAGCTGTGTTTAGGAGAATGCTAGCCATGTTTGACACTCTGGTTCTTGTCTCACATGCCAAAAGAATGAGGTTGTGTTTCTGGCAGATCTGTGTCTTCTCCAGAGCAGTGAAGACTCTGTTCATATTTGCTAGGCTGCCTGAATTTGGGGTCTTAGCTACTCTTAAAAGATTTTTGCTGGTTAAAGCAAAATGCTAGTCCCCAGAGGATGGCCAGGGTGCTGTGGTTCATTCATGAATCTAAATCTGGAAACCAGGAACTGCTGGGGAGGAAGACCCTGTCTCTTGCTGCATAGGCCCTGCAGCAAGGATGCAGGGGAGTCCTGGGGCCAAGCTCTGCCTCCTGCCAGCTTCTAGGCTAGGAATGTGCATTGCCAGCCACACAGGGAGGTATGTCTTAGGCCACAGGCAGCTGTCCCCACTGCTGCTACACATGGCCTGTCCATGTGTCTTCTGACAGAGCGGGAACAGCTTCCACGTGTTCGACCAGGGCCAGTTCGCGAAGGAGGTGCTGCCCAAGTACTTCAAGCACAACAATATGGCCAGCTTCGTGAGGCAGCTCAATATGTGTGAGTGCCCTCAGGGTGGGTCACCTCCTCTCCCATAGGGGCTGGGCAGCTGAACCAAGGTATGGGGAAGCAGACCCCAATACATTGGTGAGAGATGAAGCCCTGGGTTGACCAAAGCATGACCTGGAGCCTAGCACACCTGGGGCCAAGAAGCTTTTTCCTTGGAGGAAGGGTCCCCCTGGTTATGAACCTGGAGTCCCCAGAGAGGGGTGTATAAAGCCCTAGCCGCATTCCCACACACAAGAAGGGGAGCCGTGTGGAAACAGGTCTCCCTCAAGCCAAGACCATCCAACCCTGGACAGTGGCTGGGCTGTGGGGGATCTGGTCCCGGGCCTTCAGGCAGACCTGCCCCACCCCTGTGTGCACAGACGGCTTCCGGAAAGTGGTCCACATTGAGCAGGGTGGCCTGCTCAAGCCTGAGAGGGATGACACTGAGTTCCAGCACCCATGCTTCTTGCGTGGCCAGGAGCAGCTCCTAGAAAACATCAAGAGGAAGGTGACCAGCGTAAGTTGCCAGCCCTGAATACAGCCCCTGCCTGTCCTTGGAGGGGACCAGCAGTCACAGCATGAGCTGCTGTACAGCCTGGCAGTGTAGCCTGTGCCTCCTTATGTTTCCCTCTCACCCACCCCATTTGGTCCTTCCTACTGTGTCCCTGGCCCTCCCTATTCCTACGCACCTGGCTGCAGTGTAGGAGCCTGTGCACTCCAGGGCCACTCAGACTTAATGCCTCCCTTCCCAGGTGTCTACCCTGAAGAGTGAGGACGTAAAGATCCGTCAGGACAGTGTCACTAAGCTGCTGACGGATGTGCAGCTGATGAAGGGGAAACAGGAATGTATGGACTCCAAGCTCCTAGCCATGAAGCAGTAGGTCCTTCAGCTCAGGGCAACCAAGGTGTTGTTGGCTCACTGGGTGGACAGGACAAGGAAGCTCCCACCCTACCCGTGCCCCTTTCCCCCAACCCTCCTTCTGTGGCAGAAGTTCCTGGGTCTGTTGGTCTCCAACACAAAATAAGGTTGGAGGTCCCCTAGTACCTTTCTTCCCAGGCTGGGCTATCTTGATTTCCAAGGAAGGTCAACCTTTGCCTGGGTCTTGCAGCGACAGGCAAGCTGGGCTCCATACACTCAAGAATTGAGTGCACAGGTCCTGTCTTCCAGGCCTCTCCTGGAAGGCCAGGGCTAACAGGAGCAAGTCCTTGGGATGGGCTTCCCTGTTCTCAATGGCTCCCACTGTCCTGGCATCATTCAGCACAGGGTGTCACCATTCCCAGCTGCTTCTCCTCTAGGCTTGGGGGCAGGAAACAGTTCAGGTTCTTCCCAAACCCCTGCCCTTTGGGGTTATGCCACTCCATAACCAACCCTGTGGCCCTCAGCCAGGCCTCATGGTTCTGGCAGTGTAACACATGGGTGGCACTGAGAAACCAAAACAAAGTCAGCTTGGGTCCCACCCACTCTGGGGTCCTGAGGCTCAAAAATCCCAGGGCTGAACTGGAGGTGTGGCCCAAGCAGTAGAGTACCTACTTTGTAAGGATGAGCCCCTCAGTTCAAATTCCAGGCCCACCCAAAAAGAAAAAAGAAAAGAAAAATAGCACTATCATCTCAGCTTTGTTTGGTGAAGGAGGTCCTGGACTTAGACTCCCCACAGTGGGGTTTAGCGGAAGCCACTGATTTTGTGATACCTAGGGATGGGCCAGGTGGATGTGGCCTTTCTCAGGGTGGAGCCAGGAGGTCCAACTCTCTGTCACGAAGACATGTAGGTACTTCACCAGGCCAGACCACCAGAGCAGCAGGGTAACATTGTGGTCCTATCTACCTGGGTGGGTGAGGGCACTCCACAGGACCATCTTCAGCCCTGGTGAGCAGTCCCAGGCTCCCCACAAGGTACAGGAACCCCTACCCACCACCCACAGGGTGTTGCTTTGTAGCCTATAGAGGCTGGGCTATTCTCCTTAGGGTCCTTTGGGCTCCAGTGAGGACAGAGGTGTCCTGGGATTGGGGGCAGAGCTTCAAGAGGACTCCACGAAGATTCGGCCAGCATTGATACCAGGATCCTGGATCCTGGGGTGCACCAAACAAGCCCTACCTCCGTCCCAGCTGAGCCCCACTGGCACTTCTGTCTCCTCTCCTGGAAGTGCAGGGAGCTTTATGTGTTTGGTGGGGGGAAGGCAAACCCCCACCTACTTCAACCCCACCTCCCCATCCTCACCCCACTCCCTTGTACCTGTGTGAGGGTAGGGGGTCTTGGAGCATCACCCCTGGCTCCCGAAATGGGGTCCCACTGACCCAGCGGTGTGTTGCAGTGAGAACGAGGCCCTGTGGCGGGAGGTGGCCAGCTTGCGGCAGAAGCATGCCCAGCAACAGAAAGTCGTCAACAAGGTGGGCACGACTGGCAGCAGGTGGGTCCCCTCCACAGTGGCCAGGGGTGACTGTGTGCTCTTTGCCCCACAGCTCATTCAGTTCCTGATCTCACTGGTGCAGTCGAACCGGATCCTGGGGGTGAAGAGAAAGATGTGAGGCGCTAGGGATGCCTGCACTGTTCGCTCAAATCCCGGGCCATCTGTGTCCTCTGCCTGCTGTGTCCTGGGCACCACCAAGGCCCGAGGCAGGCAGCTAACTCCTACCCCTTTCCTGCAGCCCCCTGATGTTGAGTGACAGCAGCTCAGCACACTCTGTGCCCAAGTACGGTCGGCAGTACTCCCTGGAGCATGTCCACGGCCCCGGTTCATACTCGGTGAGCACCAGGCTTTGTGGGACTACTGCCAGGTGTTTAAAAGGTGCTGTATGGCCAGGGCTGCCACAGGCTCACCTGGCATACGGCCTCTGACTCTTGATTGCAGGCTCCATCCCCGGCCTACAGCAGCTCCAGCCTCTACACCCCAGATGTTGTCACCAGCTCTGGACCCATAATCTCCGACATCACAGAACTGGCTCCTGCCAGCCCCTTGGCCTCCCCAGGCAGGAGCTTAGATGAGAGGTGGGGCTGATACCCTATCCGTCCTGTCATCTCACTGAACCAGCCCCTGTGGACCCAGGGCAGCGTTGAGACTGGGTGGGGCTAGCTGAGACTCCTGTTAACATGCACCCCTATGTGTCCAGGCCCCTGCCCAGCAGCCCCCTGGTGCGTGTCAAGGAGGAGCCCCCCAGCCCACCTCGGAGCCCCCAGGTGGAGGAGGCGAGTCCTGGGCACCCATCCTCTGTGGACACTCCGTTGTCCCCAACGGCCCTGATTGACTCCATCCTGCGAGAGAGCGAGCCTACCCCAGCTGCCTCCACCACAGTCCCCACGGATACCAGAGCCCGCACGCCGGCTCCCCCTCCCCCCTCCACCCCTGAGAAGTGCCTCAGCGTAGCCTGCCTGGACAAGTGAGTGCTGCCCTCACCCATAGCTCCTGGACCAAAAGCCTGGGCCTTTGCTCAGGTTGCCTTGGAGGGCTGGGAACAGGGTAACTATTGAGACCCCCCCCAGGCCTTGCAAGTGTGGCATTTGCTGGGGATAAGTGGGGTGGACCTGTTCTCCCCAAACTCAGAACTTGAAGCTGGGGAGGGAGATGAGTAACAAACAGATCACTGAGCAGCCCCAGTGCCACAGGAGCTAATAGCACACAGCAGGACAGGACAGGTAGCTCTGCCTGGTATCCTGGGAGCCCCAGCCCTCTGGGTTACCTTTGCTACTGCTGTCACCCTCTCCTGAGGCAAGCCACAGGGTCCTTGCATCTGTCATTGCTACCCAGACCTGGGACAGGAGATGATGAGTCAGGGCCTAGCCTTGATCATCCCTCAGTCCCTGTCCCAGAGGCTGAGCAAGCGAGGACGGTGGGCACAGACCCCCGGCCCCCGCCTGCAATGGGGGGGCTCTTGTCTTTGTATCTTGCAGTTTGGCTCGCACTCCACAGATGTCTGGGGTCGCCCGCCTCTTCCCCTGCCCCTCCTCTTCCTTTCTGCATGGCCGAGTCCAGCCAGGGTTAGCGCTGCCCCCACTGGGGAGGGAGGAGGGCTCCGCCAGAGCTCGGGCCCCTCCCGCAACTATGGACCAGACCCTACCTGGGCATAGCACTCGCCCCACATGACGAAGAGTGCCCAGGGAAGGGCCTCACAGGCTCTGCATCTTCACTGACTCCCTGGGAGTGGGCCATGGCTGACTGATCTGCCCACCAGTTCAGGCAGGATCCAGGCTGCTCTGCTGAACTTCCCCTCAGGGTGGAGTGGGCGCTCTAGCGCTTGGGGAGCCAGCCCAGCTGTCCTTTACGTGGCCCAGAGCCTCTGGTTACAGCAGCACTAAGAGGAGGCACAGACCCACCCACACTGAGCACAGCTGTCTCTCCTTACCCTTTTCCGAGTGCAATGGCAAGACTTTGTCAAGCCTGAAAATGTGCATCCTCCCTCCATTTCTAGGCCTGAATCCTCCCTTTCTTGTCCCCACCACTCTCTTGGCTCAGCTATAATTCCCATCTAGACGGGATACCCCAGTAGCAAAACCACACCCCTATCCTCAGCAGCCCTGGAGGGCACAAAGCTCATCACTGCCCCTTCCGGGCTGTTCAGGCGGTGTTCCCCCAGCCCATGCTGGCTATGCAGAGGGCCTTGCCTGGGGGGCTACAGTCAAGGGGGAGCCCTTCTCCAGCACAAGCGCGGCTGGGTGGGCACTTGGGGCGCTGGTTCACCCTGCCACTCACCCCGGGCCAGGAACGAGCTCAGTGACCATTTGGACGCCATGGACTCCAATTTGGACAACCTGCAGACCATGCTGACCAGCCACGGCTTCAGTGTGGACACTAGCGCCCTGCTGGACGTGAGTCTGGCCCGCCCTGCCTGCCCTACCCCGCCCTGCCCGCAGTCCAGCCCTGACTTCCCTCCCTCCTCCGCAGCTGTTCAGCCCCTCGGTGACCATGCCCGACATGAGCCTGCCTGACCTTGACAGCAGCCTGGCCAGCGTGCGTAGGCGGGCAGGGTGGGGGGCGGGCGTGCTCAGCAACAATTCTCACTGTACCCCTCCTCCCCACAGATCCAGGAGCTCTTGTCTCCCCAGGAGCCCCCCAGGCCTCTGGAGGCGGAGAACAACAGCCCCGACTCAGGTGAGCTGAGACCTGTTCCCTGCTCCCCACTCTCACTTCCCACCTCTTGCTCATTCCCACCACCCTGATCCCCGCCCCACAGGGAAGCAGTTGGTGCACTATACAGCTCAGCCCCTGTTCCTGCTGGACCCTGACGCTGTGGACACAGGGAGCAGCGAGCTGCCCGTGCTCTTTGAGCTGGGGGAGGGCTCCTACTTCTCTGAGGGGGATGACTACACGGATGACCCCACCATCTCCCTGCTGACGGGCTCTGAGCCCTCCAAAGCCAAGGATCCCACTGTTTCCTAGAGATTCCACGAGGAGCCAGGCTGGACTGTGGCCTGCCCCCAACTTTACCCCCAGGGCAGGGCTGGTCCTGGGAAGGCATGTGGTTCTGGGGCAGGCTTCACAGCCCTAGTGGGGCAGAGATGGAGCTGGAGACTGGGCGATGTCATGGGGAGGGTCCTAGGGCCTGTTCACCTGCTGCCTTTACCCCAGCCCCATGTTCCCTGGCTTGGTTGGGGCTTCACAGCCACACTTGGACTGACCCTGCAGGTTGTTCATAAAATTGTATTTTGGATTTTTACATGAGGATTCCCCTTTCACAGAGAAATACATATATACACACAGATGGACGGACAGATGGACAGACAGGACAGGCAGAGCTCTATAAATGGATGGGCTCTATGCTGTTGCCTCTTGTGTGCTTCCTCCTTCCCCCAGGGTTGGGGGAGGTGGGGTACAGGGGAGGGACCTGAGCACAAAAGTCACTGCAGGCCTGAATTGTCCTTGGAAGAGGACAGATGTTCACAGCCGGCCCACCTGACACCACAGGACAAGTGTTTGCTCACAGCTCTTTATTGAGGGGCTAGGAAAGAGTACCCAACCCTGGAGTGCCCCTGCTTATCAGCAGGACCCCCTCCCAAGATGTCCATTCAGGGATGGGGGCACAGGTAGACATGGTGGACATCACTCAGTAGAGCCAGCCCGTATCCCTGAGATACTGAACTGGTTCTGGGCCTGCTTACGCTGTTGCAGACGTTTCCATGGGGTCTGACAGAAGAAAGGGAAGGTGGCCCAGGGTGGGCCCCATCTCCTGGGTCACACTTTGCTGGCTGAGGGGTGGAAGGAGGCACAGGCACAGGCACCCACACAGTGTTGGAGAGTCAGGCCAGACAATTCCTGGACACCTTGTTTCCAGTGAGTTCACTCCCTCCTCACTGCTCTCAGCAAGCCAGGGTCATGGCCACCATGGTACAGAGGTCAGGGAGCTACTGTATACACCAGGTGGAGCATCAGGCAACACAGGCCTGCCCTCTCCCGATGCTGCCATGGCCAGAAGAGGTGAGGGCCATACACTGGCCAGGTAGTCTGCTAGTGAGGCAGCACAGCTATGGGGCCACTACCCACCCTGCAAAGTTCCCAACACCTCAGATGCCTGCCTTGCTGGGCCACAGCTGTAGGTTAGGGCTGTGTTCAAACAGGTTGGCAGTTGAGCACCAAAATAAGGTAGGGAGAGTCCCTGAGCTGCCATCAAGGTGGCCTCTGCAAAACCTGGCAGGTAAGAGGGCCTAGGGACAAGACACCCCTCTGAAGATTACAGAGCTGCCACCTATTGCCATGAGAAGCACATGTGAGGAAGAGGGGACACGACACAGACCTGGCTCCTGTGCAGGCTGCCTAGTCACTGGCCTACCTTGCTGATCAGCACTGTCCCAGGGAGCCCAGGTGAATCAAGTGTTCAGAGGCCCTTAGGGCCAAGTTAAGGGGCAGCCTAGGCCCAGACAGCTGATGCACAAGGGTGGGGTACTCTCATGGACAGTGTGTACCCTTTAGTGGCCCTACCTCTGGGGATGTGAACCCAGGTTCCCAGTGGAGGCAGTGAGGATAAGCAGGCAGATCTAGACCCTGCTGAGCCTACCCCAGGTGAGCTCCCTGTGGACACCGCATGTAATCTCCACGGGTTCCTCAGGCCTGAGCTGTCAGAAGGGCCCTGGGCATTGGCCTCCAGCCTGCCCTCAGGTGAGGTCCACGCTCAGGAAGCCCTAGACAGACACCCTCTTGCCAGGCCCAGATTGGCCAGACTTTTATCCTCTACTGGGATCCAAAGAGTGCTGACCTGGCCCACATGAAATACACAGAGCTGGGATAGGAAGTTGGAATTCAGCTGGTCTTTCCTAAGCAGCCACCTCCATGGTGGGCTGCTGCCGCCCCCTATTGACTGTGCTCTACTCTGCAGCTGAGCAACCTTGTCCACACACCTGCGATCGTGGGCACCCAGATCCACTTCTACCCCCAGCCCCACAGCCTTGGCCAGAAGCCTGAGATCCAAGGCCTTTAGCCTCTGGAGCAGCTGCCACCAGCCCTCACACCCCCACCAGGCTGAGGAAGGTCAGTCTGGACAGCACTTTATTGACACCCTCAGCCCCAGTCAGCACAGACTCCCAACACTGGCTCCTGCCAGGTGGGCTCCGGTGTCACCATCCCTAAGAGGATCAGGAGGGAGCCCCATAGGGGCAGACAGGCCTCCCAGGGCAGGAGGAGGGTGCAGTCAGCCAGGGCCTCCTCCAGCACTCCAGGCCCAGGTGAGGGAGAGCTGGCTCTGGCCATGGACAGTGAAAGAGACTAGGCCCTAGGGAGCAGCTCAGGTCCCTGCTGTTGGAGCCTCGTAGTTGAGTACATAGTAGTCGTGGACGTACATGAGCACAGCCACCGGCTGCCCGATGATGAGTGTCAGCCAGACAGCCGCATTGCCATAGTTGCCCTGGAAGAAGCGACCTACGATCCAGGCCAGGGGGATCTGAGAACACGACGCCGAAGTCAGGAACAGCTTAGCACACATTCAGGTAGGGAAAGGCAAGCAGGCGAGGTAGCCACATTGGGGGGGCGGGGAGCACGCACCTGAGCCATCATAGCTGTGAATGCCCAGAGGCGGAACATCCGAAGGGGGACACTCACCAGGTACTGGGATGAGGGGAGAAGGGAGTCAGTGTCCCACCTGCTGGCCAGACCCCTGCCCAGAGGTGAGGCAAGGATGTCTGCAGAGCACTGACCTCATGGAAGAAGGCTGAAGCTAGGAACACCCCTGTCCTGGCCATCCACCTGCTGCTGCCCCGTCGGATCATAGGCTTGTAGAAGTGTCTGCAGAGGAAGGAGGCTGTAGGACAAGGTCCTGGGACAAGGACCAGGTTCATACCCACACCCACACGTACATACGCCACCTACCTGATACACCACTTGTGCACAGGGATGTTCCAGTTCTGCCAGAAGTAAGTGACAGACTCAGCGTTCCTGAGGTGGGGTTGGGGAGGAGTAATCGAGAACAGAGTGAGCAGAACACACTGTGGCCCACCCAGACCCCCAGAGCCACCCCCAAGGCCACCCACCACCAGTCCCGGTAGAACTCCCGGTCTCCAAACTGCATGAGCTCTGCCACGGCGTTCAGGCAGGAATGGAAGAGCCAGTAGAAGAAGATGAGCCAAATCAGGTGGTTGGGGACCTGTGGGGGAAGGGTCTCCAGGTTCCAGAATATCCCCACCTATTCCTCAAGTTCACCTCACCCACAAACTGCTGACAGACACTCACCGCCAACTTCAGGAGGCGTTCAGCGATGCGTGAGTAGTCCATATCCTACAGAAGCAGGATAGCTGCTCAGCCAGCTGCAGCATCCGTACCCCAGCCACCCCAGCCACAGGGGAGCCTGAGCTCACCTTGAAGGGCTTCATGGAGTTCTGGATAGTGGGGACCATCCACTGCAAAGGAAGACACACCATCAATTTTCCCAGTTATGCTGAGCCCTGCCACCCACCCACTGGCCACACTTACCTGCTGGATCAGCCCCACCTGGAGTTGGGTGAAGAACAACTGAGGGAAGAGCAGAGATCAGCCAGCTAAGACCACAGCTGTGCCCTACCCACACCCTGCTTGTGGCAGCCCCCCGGCCCCAAACCTCACCAGCTCAAGGACTCGCCGCAGCAGAAAGCGCTTTCGGATTCGAGGGGAGCGGGGAAAGTTGAGTTCGTAACACAAAGTCGGAGCAAAAATGAAGTAGTAGAGATCTGGAAAGGAAGGGAGGGGTCTGAAACTACACAGCCCTAGCCTGGCCCCTTGGGGCTCTGGCCCACAGATCCTCACCTCGGTAGGTCAGGTTGTCTGGGTAGCTCACGGTACGCTGGGCAGCAGCTCCACTGCTCTTCTTCCCTATGGGGGCTGTGAGAAAAGCAGAGGAGGCTGGAAGGTAGTGTGGGTCCTGCTGCCAAGGCCCAGTCCTACAGGCAAGCCACAGCCCTCACAGCCCCTTACCAGCCTTCGCCTTGGCCCTGCGTTGGCGGCACCACAGGTTGACATCCCGGTAAGAGAAGAGCTTGAGGAAGAGGATGGAGTACGATCCCAAAGCCATCAAGGAGCCCACTGTGGGAGAGGCATCTCAGCCATGGGGACCACAGGAGAGGTGGCTCAGCCACAGCCACCCATGCACCACAGGGATCACACCCGCCACACTGAGCCTGGGACAGCCAGGCATGGGCTGGGACAGGTAGGATAGGGGCACAGCACACCTGGAGTGATGGACTCGACCAGTAAGGCCACAGCTGCCGGGAAGCAGAGGAGGGTGGCCAGGATGGCCATGTACAGCAGCAGCCCCACCTGCTCTGTCAGGGCACCCTGGGGAATGGGCAGAGCACTCAACCAAGGCCCCTTCTTGGGGAAAGGCTGCCAGGCCTGGTGAAGAAAGCCGACCTCAAGCAGACCAACAACTAACACCAGGGAAGGGGGTAGGCACCACTTACCACCGCCAGGCGCTTCTCAATCTGGAACGCAGCCACAACAAAGATGTTGGCCACTGAGGGCAGAAACCACCACAGAGCAGGTTCAGGCCCCAGGTCAGACTGGTCCCCACCCGTGACCCTTCTCTGAGCCCAGCTCACCAATAACCAGGCATGGGGCAGGCCAGCTGTACGGGTCCTTCAGGAACAGAGATACCACCTGGATGGGGTCCACCAGGATGCCATACCTGGGGGTGGGGCAATGAGGGCCTGAGTGGGAGTGGGGCTGAGCAGGCAGTAGATGAAATGGGGTGAGACCCACAGAAGGTACTCACTTGATGAGGTTCTCCAAAAATAACCGTGCGTTGCTCAGGACCTGCAGGAGACAGTCAAGATGACTCAGCCCTGGTAGTGCTGACCACACCCCACCCCAGCACTTCCCAGCTCCCCTTTGCACCTTGGGGCAGGAACCCTAACCTGGCAGCCTCAGCCTTACAAACCCAGCCACACAAAGCTCTGAGACTCACCACCCACCTCACCATACACCAGTGCAAGGGCAGAGAGAAGTCCCTCCTCATCCCATGCAGAAGGGACCAATCCCACTACCAGTCATTTCCCAGATGCCCTATCTTCAGTAGCAGACAGACCCACTGTTCAGCAATCCCTTGTCCCTCAGAGCAGACACAACTCACCCTGCAGTCCACCATGACCAGTTACAGCCCAAAAGCTGTTTGTGTGGGGGGCCCCAGAAAACATGGGGCCCCCACACCCAATGGGGGAAGCCTGAAGCAGCTGAGCCCCAGGGAGCCCCCTGGAACCTCTTCCTCAGCCTGGGCCTCCACTCTACCAACCAGGCAAGCCTTTGCAGTGCCCACTTGACAAGAGGCTGCAGCAGGAAGATACTGCCAAGGTCAAGAGCAGGGGTGAGACACTGCCCCTGCCTTGCCTCAACTGTTCTGGCAGCTGGGATGCAGTCCCAACGCAGCCTCCAGGACTGAGCCCCCACTGAAACAGAGTACAGGCTCCAGCCTGGAACTAGGTGCTTGACCTCCATCCTCATCCAACCCATAAGCACCACTGGTACCCCAGGAGCCATGTCCTACCTGGCCAACTGCCCAGAGTTCAGGCCCATGAGATGGAGGTGAGGAGTGCAGTGGAAAACCAATACTGGCAAGGGAGTACATGTGGGGTTCCTTGCCTGGGTGGCCAGGGAAGCTTCACAGAGGATGTGACAAGCTTAGGGGATACAGGGGCCGCTGCCCCACCAGACGCCCACCAGAAAACATGGGGCCCCACACCATCACTCTTACACCAAGGCCTCTCTTGAGAGCAGGCAGTCGGAACCTAGGATGCCATGTCCCGTCGGGAGTGGGTGGAGGGCTAGAGCAGTGGAAAGGCTGCGGGTCTACGCCCAAGGGACAGGCAGGCTCAGGAGGCTGCAAGAGACAGTGCTGGCCAACGACCTCCCCTGTCCTGTTGCTTCTTTATTGACTAGCCTGGGCCGTATCTCCTTGGGGCCAGACTGGCTTTCAGCCCACTGTCCCCTGTGCAGCCAGCTGCTCACCCATCAGGTTTCATGGCATCCCACAGCTGTCTGAGACTCAAGGCCCTCTCCAGGGGAAGGGTGCTAGAAACTTCAGGAAGCTCCTGGGACATGGCAGGGTGTGGTATGCATAGAACCCCTTCCACCTGGGCAACCAGAGGAGTTGTGCCCAAAACAGAGGTAGATGTTTCTGGGGAGGACCGAAAGTCTCGAGCCACATCATTCCTGAATGGTAGAGGTTGGCACAGATAGCCGCTTGCCCCCTGGCCCACCCGTCAGGCTGCCCTTTGAGCCTAGGGTAGGGCTGCTGGCCACACCCCCACAAAATGCCAGTGATAACCAGACCCCAGAGGCAGCAAGTCTTGGACATGGCACAGGGCTCCATCCAGAAGATCCAAGGCTGAAGGAAAGGGGCCAGGAAGACTAAAGCGGAAACTAGGCCTTCTGGGAGTTCCATGCCTACAAAGCCACATGGCATACAACCTCAGGACCTCTCTCACACCTTCCTAGGCAGGTACCCTGGGGTGCCCACTTCCCAGGAGTACCCACAAAGCACTCCTTTCTCAATCTCCCAGCCTGGGAGGGAGGGGGAGAGAGGGTAACTATTGCTCCCTTCCTCTATCTGTCCACCCATGCCAGCTTAACCAGGGGGACCTGCACCCCTGCACAGCTTACAACCTGAGTCCTCAAGTCCCAGGTGCACTGCTAAGCCTCAGTCCTCTCCTGGGATCCACCATGACCCACATTGGCACTGCAGGGACTGCTTCTGCCTCCCATCAGCCCAGAGCTGGCAGCCACAAGGAACCATGGCCTTCTCAGGTACAAAATGCCCCACATACCCCAGTCCACACACCCCAGGGCAGAGCCTGTGCTCAGGGCAAGGCCAAACTGGAAGAGTCTGCCATACTTGGTTGCAGGTGAGCCTGCTCCCACATCCTGTCCTACTCACCAGCATCACCACACACCAATTCAGGATGCCACGGTAGTTGCTGAAGCCACTGTCTGAGCTGAACAAAGAATCTTGCAGACGATGGCACCTGGCAGAGAGGGGACAGCCCCCCTCCCCGTGAGCAGATGCCACAGAGCAAGGATTGGCCCACTGCTGTGACCCACTACTTTCCCAACTGTCTTTTCTATCCATACACCCCATTCCCCATTTAAAAAGGGGAAAAGGAGCCAAGCAAGATATGCCAGTAGCCATGTGGCTACAGTGGGCAAAGCTCTCAGGACTAGCCTGAGAGGGCCTTTCTTCCAGGCAGTGAGAAAGGACTAATTACAGGCAGGAGTCAGTCAGGCCTATATGGGGCTTGGATATCCCAGGCCAGGAAACTAGCATTGCTCTCTGGAGGCCCCCAACAGCAACCAGGCCAACCAGAAGAATCCAACCTGGGTGATCTGTAGGCTTACCCAGCACCACCCAGTACTGTTGGGGCAGACAGGCAGGGGTGGAATCCACCCTGCTCAATTACCCCATCCCACCACCCATGGAGTCCAGGGGTCCCCACCAACAGCCCTGAAGAGCCTCTTCCCCACCCTTGGCTATACAGTCCTCAGTGGGCACAAGAACCTAGGCCAACTTCCAGCAGTCCCCAGACTAATATGCACCTTTCTGGGGCAGTGACTTGACCCTTGTATGCTCATGGTAAGTTCTGTGTTCCTGCTTGGGCTGGGGCTTCTGAAAGGAAACCACTCAAGGGCCAGGTACTTGACAGCAGGGATTTCCCCCTGCCAACAGACCCCACTCCGATGAAAGCTCCCACCCAGTGCTGGGTTGGGGGACACCCAAATCCTGCCTGTGAAGAGGGGTACCAGGGCTGGCAGAGGGGCCTCTGTGTGGCTGGGATAAGACCAAGACCCAGCCCCAGGCAAGGACAATAGCAGCAAGGCCAGCATGTGAATCCCAAGAACAGTGCCCTGGCTCACTCACACCAGCTGTGGCCCCACCTTGCCCTCCAGCTGCTGTGCCACCAGGAAGCCCTACACAGCATTGAGCAAGGCCTTGGTTTTGTAAGAGGAGAAGTAAGGGCCTCCTCTTCCCCCTTAACCATGCACATCCCCGCCTTGGGGCATATGATCAGGAGGAGCAAGCCAGGGAACACTGTGGCACAGCTGCCCTTGTAGGGCTGGTCTTGCCTCAGTGCACAGGGGCAAGTCTGGCTCTGGTTGGGGTCAGCAGTCTGACAGCCCCACCTAGGAAAAAGGGTCAAAGAGGCTGAGAGACAGAGCCAACAGGCTCAACCTTTGCCCCCGACCAAGGTCTGCTCAGCAGCTAGTCCCATCCCACACTAGCTCCCAGTGGCTCTTGGCTGGTGGGAAGGCGGAGCACCAAGGTGGGGAAGCTCCACCCCAGCCCTAGCCCCTGCCATTGCCCATCTCCCTCTCCCTGACTCAAGCCTCAGCTTCCTGAAACTACCCACCAGGCTCATCACGAACCACGGAGGGCGGCTATGGTCTTTACCTAAGCCCCTCCTCTTCCCAAGTCTGCACCTGCCTTTCCAAATGGCCATTGCCCTTGGGGCACCTCCTCAGACAACTCTACTCACTGCCCATCCTCCTCAGGAAGGGTACATGTAGGCTGTTCCCAGAGACACAGCAGCAAGAGGCAAGAAGGATGGCCTTTCTGGGCCTGTTTGCTAGACTGGGCCTCCCAGTTGCCCCTCTCCGCCAAGCTAAAGCCTATTATTCTTTGATCAGAACTATCCCAAAGTTTCCTGGCTGGCATCCTTGTGCCACAACCCACCAACTGCTGTCTTCACACCACAATGGCTATTTCACAACCGTGTGACCTCTCTCTCTTTTGCGCCACCAAGGAGACCATGCTGCTTTATCTGTCTTCAAAATGAAGACAGAAGTGGGGAAAGGGTCTTGCTTTCCAAAACTTACAGCAGACGTCATAAGAGTTTTTTCAGGTTTCTTCTGTTGGGCTTCCAAGGCCTTCCTCAACTGCCCACGCCCACATCTCGGATCACTCCATTAGCCTTCCAACCTGCCCCATCTCAGGCAGCATTCCCACTATGCTGGCTCCACCATGCTGCCTCTCCCCTCATAGGAAGAGGGGAGGCCCTGGCCCAGGGAAGGAAGCCCCCATCTGCCAATGCTGGCCAAGGTCCAGGGTTACCAGTACGGTCAGTCAGCAGCAAGTGAGCTCAAAGGCAGGCCACAAAGGATGGTTGGCAGAGGAAATGGGAGCTGGCCACCTGGCCAGTTATCTTTGTCACCCTCTCACCTACTGGAGGGCCTGCTCATTCCCTGCACTTTCCAGCTGCCCTTTACCCATTCCTTGGGGCCAAGAGGACACAGGACAGCCCCTCCTACAGCCCCCAGGCCCACCCAGTAAACTACAGGCAGAGCAGGAAGGGGTAGCCTCCCTTTCTACTCCTCTGCCTAACTCACAAGAGCACTATGAGACAGGAACATGCCATCCCCACTACACATATGCCAAAGTCTGTACACACCCAAAAGCTCAGCCTCCAACTGTGGACCTCATCTGGGGAACAGCTCCAGGGCCAAGAAGAGTTGGGGGGGGTGGCAGAATGCCAGCTCCCGTCCCAGCTGCCACCTCCTTGGCACTTCCTCTATGTCACCCTCTGAGCCAGACCCTGGGGCACAAGATAATTGGGGCAGCTCTTCACACCTCACAGACCCTGCAGGAGAGGTACAGAAGATAGCTTGGGACAAACACCCTAGGGAAGCAGCACAATCAGAAGTCTTGCCTAGGGTGGCCATGAGTATGCAGAGCCTGAAAGGTAAACAGCCCGCAGAGCAAGATGGGTGCCTCTCCTTCCTACCTCAGCCTTGCCTCAACACATGGCAGAAGAAATGGCCTCACACCCAAAGTCTGACCCACCTGCCCAGCCCAAAGTGAACAGGAAGTGTTGCAAGGGGAGGAGGTAGGAGCTAAAGAAGTCAGGAGGAACGGGGAAAGGAAGGCTAGCCTGGGCTGGGCCAAGAGAGCAACAAGTGGAGGAGGGGAGGCTGGTGAGAGAATAGTGGCAATGGGGTAAACTACAGGCCAAATCCCAGGCGGCCAGAAAAGGTGGCTTGGCCTAGCCTGCCAGCAGGAGAATGGAATTCAGCACTGGACCCAGGAGCCTTGTGCCCTGACATCCCAGGATTTCATCTGCACATTCTGGAGACCCACAGGGGTCTCTCTCCAGCCCTGGACAGCCTCTTCCCTGCCATCTACCACTCTATGAAGGGAAGGTACAGCATGATCAGCTGAGGCAGAGCAGCAAGGTTGTTACCCAAGGAGACCAGACCTTAGTGACAGGACAGGGACTCCCCTGACCTCTCCCACTATCCACCACACAAGCCCCACAGCAGCAGGTACACAAAAAAGGCTCACTGGCCAGTGCAAAGCAAGAAGGTGACTGCTCTCTCCTCCCTATCCTTCCGTGGTAGCTTGACCCACAAGTGAGACCTCTCCCTCAATCCCACACAAGAGGGCCCCAATTCCCACCCCCTCCAAAGGTCAAGCAAGCCATCCCCCTGCTTCCTGTAGAAAAGAACAACTTGGGACAAAAGGGGAACTCCAGCACTACCTCCTTCAGCACAATTCCAGACCCACAGGAAACTAACACCCTTTTTAGGACAGCCAGCCTCCTCCCCCACACTGTCTTCACATCCTCCTTACCTGACCTTTGTCCACACTGTGCCATGTCTGCCTCACACTGAGGTTATCTTATCTCCCAGGTGAATTGTGAGCACCCAAGGGCAGTGGGGGCCCCCTCCCCACAGGGTGGTGAAGAAAGACTGGGCTGTTTTACTGAAAGGGCAACTCCTTGCCAATCAAGCTCACTTCCTCCTAGCCCCTCAGTTTCTCCCTAAACTAGAGCCACTGAGGGTCCTAGGATGAAGGCCAGAATAGGTGACTTGGGGGTGGCCTGAGGACCAGTTTGGAGGAGGCAGCCAAGCCCAAGCAGGCCAAGTCCTCCCCAGGCCAAGGTGTACTCCAGCACCCCCTGCCCCCACTCCGCCTACATGTGGGTGTGTCTACACGAAACCCCTCTCTTGTAGTCCAATCAGGGAATGAAAATGTCCACACAGGATTCAACTCTGGCCATACAGCAGACACCAATTCTGGCAACATGGTGGGGCTCCAGGCCCTCCTAACCACTGTGTGAGGCATGAGACATACAGCCACTCTTCGGAGGATCTGTAAGAACAAACCCTATGCACTTCCCCCTCCTCTAGGCAGATGCCCATTCTCTTTTCAGGCCTGAGCCCAGCTGGACCTTCCCTGGAAGACCAGCCCTCCTTACCCATCTAGTCCCATCCCATCTACCTCCCTCCAAACAAGATGGACCAACCAAGGAGGGCGCCAGGCTTCCAGTTGGACCCTCTGAAAGGGCCTTGGGACTTACCTGAGATTGCACCAGCCTAACTGATCTAGAAGAGGGGCTGCTGCTGCCCGCTCCCCTCTACCTGGCTAAGGAGGCCCGCTACTCGGCCCCTGGGTGACCTTGGCAGGTGACTCTCCCCAAAGCCTCGGTGTACCACGATGACCCAACGGTTCCCAGGCTAGGGGATGGCACTGCTGTGGCCACTTCTGGGGGAAAGGGAACGTCGCCGAAACTGTATCAGAGGTGAGGGATCAGGCGCTCCGCTACCTCAGCTCCCCCGGGCCGCTGCCCACGTGGGCGTCTCCATCCTCGTCCGGAGCCGGGACCGGGGCCGGTGCGTCCCCCGCGGCGCTCACTTCGGGGCCCGCGGCCGCGTCCCGCACCGCCTCTTCCGCCGAAACGGGCCCGCCGCCGCCCTGGCCGGAGGGCCTCGAGCCGGTCCTCCGGCGCCGGGAACCGCCCGCGCCGCCGCGGTCACCCATGGCCTCAGCCAGCACCTCGTCGAGGCCCAGTCCTGGCCCACCCGGCTCTCAGCGCCCGTAGCCCGCGGTTCCGCCTCCGGACTCTGAGCAACGGCCGCCGCCGCCCCCTGCCGGCCACCGTAGCCCGTTCCACGCACGAACGCCCACCCAGAATGCCGCAGCACCGCTGCTTCCAAGCTGCTGACTGGCCATCGGCCGCCGCACGCACCCATTTGTAGTCCGCGGCCAGCCGGGGCGGAGCCTAGGAGGTGGCGCGGAGCACTCTGGGAGTTGCAGGCGCCCGAAGCGTGGCACTCTGGGAGTTGCTGTCACCGCTCGCCGGTGGCCGCCCTGCGCCCCTGGTCGCGAAGACGTTAGAGGTTCTCCCGGGCTCCGAGTAGCGGGCTGGACCACCAAGGACCGCAGCGGCCCCTGGCTGCCTGGCAGCTGCTCACTTCCCCTGACCTCTCGCCTGCCCCTTGTCCCGCTTTTGTAAACTCAAGCTTTCCTCATCCCCCAACTCCGCGAGTGACCAGGGGTGTGAGTCTTAGGAAACTCCATGTGTGCGTGCTGTCCAGCTGCCCGAGACCTGCGTCCTAGCGCGCACCCGGCGGAAACTAGCGCCCCCTGGCGGGGTTGTGCTCCAACTTGCCGGGCAGGGTCCGCTTTGAATGGGCTTAGAGGGACTTCCCACAAAGGCCAGGTCAGGGGATCAAGCGGAAGAAATACCCAAGCCACGTCACAGCATGCTTGTGAAATTGCTCGGCTTTTAAATGAAGCAATTCAGCGTCACCACAGTCACTCCAGGCGCAGGTGTGGCCCAGCATGCGCCCAGCACTGAGCGTGTAGTGCACGTATCATGGCCTCCTAGCCACTGGCTCTTCTGAGTAGAACAAGGCCAAGAAGCACCTCTCTAGAACAAGCAGGGACTCAGTCTGTAAGTGTCAGCAACACCTTTCCTGCTGAGCTCGCCCCATGCTATCACTTAACGCTGACCGTGTTGGCTGGCAGGGCTGCTCCCCTGGGACAAGTTCTTGTTACCACCAGCCATCGAGGGCTGATGCCGTCCCAGGCATCAGGCAGGCTGAGGCTACCTTGCAGTTACCTTTGTGTAGCCTGCAGAGGAGGCCCACACTGACAGAAAGTTCCTCACACAGGCACCTTCTGTGGTTCAGGACCAGGCCCATCTCCTACCCAGTCTCCCGTAATATTTGTTCATCGAAGTTGCTGGCTGAGCACACTCTGTAGCTGGGCCTAGGCTAGGCCGGGCTGTACTAAGCCTTTGTGAGCACTGACCCAAAAAGAGCCTAGGCAGAACAGAATGTCCCCTCAGGAGCCTAGAGCATAAGTGTAAGTCATGGGAGCCCTGCCACCCCATCCTCACACCCTTCTCTGGCAGCAAGGCCTCTGTACACCCACGTGTCTGCATGTCAGCTGTAGCAGTGCTACCTTCCAATCTGGAACGGAGAATTAGAGCGATGGTCTATACCAGGCAGATGGAAAGAGAAGGTTGATGGCTTTGTCTGTCACTAAGCCCAGAGGGGTTTCCTGGCCAATGAGGAGCGGAAGCCACTGTCTTCAGCCATATCCAGACTCAAAACTGTCAGCCAGCGAGTAGCCTTGGGAATGAGGCAGAGAGTATACAGGAGGCACCAGAGAGGGCGGTCCTGCCAGCTGGGTGGGGCCAAAGCGAGTAGTGAAGAAATGGAGCCTGCAGCAGGGAGGTGGGCCAGGATGGAAGCCTGAGGAGGAGATTACCTGGCACAAACAGCTCCAGCACCCCCAAAATCTAGGGTGAGGTGTGACCCGGGGCATCAGGAAAGAGGAGAAAGGGTAGCAGAAGTTGGTTGGGAACCAACTTGTATGTGGCAGACTTAGTAAGGAAATCATAGTGCCGATGTCTTTGCTGAGGGTGGCAACAAAAGGGGGCCCAGGAGGGACTTGAGGTTTAGAAAGGGTCTCGGGGTGACCCCAGCATCTTGGGGCCATCAGTGGGTCAAAGAGGCCTACTGTGAAGAGTCCATGGCAGACTGTGCCATGCATTCTCTAGGATAGAAGTTGTGTCCATGGATGGATGGGAGGAATGGGGAGGTGAACTAATTCTAGGCCTCCCAAAAGTTGCTTCCATCCTTGTGTTCTACCATCCTCAGAATCCTAGAGAAACAGAAACAACCAGTCCGGAACCTGAAGCTGTGGAATCCTTCAGGAAGGAGTGAGCAGTTAGGAGCCTTCTTGCCTATCTTTGCTACCTGCCAAGGTGTTGAGTCAGGTATAAAGGTGGGTGGAGAACTAAGTCAGGGTTATGTCAAAAGCAGCACTTCATCCTTAGACAAGCCATTTACCTCATCCCCAAGGTTCAGATTCCTCATCTGCAAATAGGACAAACAGATGTCTGTCCAGCTAGAGACCATGACAGTGAGGGTCCCTCTGCTAGGGACCCTGGCCACTGACTTCTCCTAGTACCAGGTGTGCCTTCACTCCTGCTGTTTTTACTATTGGCAGAGCACACAAGAGGGGTGCACCCACTCCCACTGAAACCCTCTCCGAGTAGCAGGCACACACGCCATGACCTGCTGGAGACACAGCTGCCCTGCTCTCCACTGAATGGAGTCTGGTGGTCTAGCCCCTGCCCTTGCCAGGGTGTGGGAAGCTGTGCTGGCCCTGGCCTAGGGATAACCTAGTTTGACCACGTACATGTGCACAAAATCCTTGGGCAAGTTAATTCATGTCTGCCTACTTGCTTGTCAGGGGCCATGGCTGGGAAGGAGGGCTCCCAAACCCTATGTTCTCCCTAACCATCAGAGCTCTGCCCACTTCAACTCTACTCACCCTGTCTAGAGCCTGTGGGCGGCTGTGGAAGCCTCTCTGCCCCAGGCATCTCCTCCCTGGAAACTGGCCTGTCCCAACTGTCCAGAGAGGCATTCTCCTGCAGTGCAGTTGGAGCATATCCCCAGAGCTCAGGGGTCAGAATAAGGGCAGCAGGCCACAGGGAATGGCTGGACCTCAAAAACTCTCCTGGCCCCATTTCTTCCAACAGCATCTCAGGGGACTTACTAAGGATAAGGAACCTAGAATTGTTCATGTAGCTGCTTGCAGGACAGGCCTATGGATGCAGCAGAAGCCCCTTATAGGGAGAGTAGGAGAGTGGAAGCATCCAAGGCAGGGGACCATATACCCTGCTGTACACACCCTGACCATTCTAGGTCAGCTTGGCTGGACCTGACATTGGGCTAGAGCCCCTGGAAACCATGAGCCCACAATTCCTGGCTCAGGGCAGATTCACTGTCACAGGAAAGTGCCAACTGCTTTTGCCTTCAGATAGGTGTCCTGTGGCCCAGCTGGCAGAGCCAGCCGTCTCCAGTAGGAAAAAGGCCTGACCCGTTCTTTGAGTTGCCACTCCCAGCAGAACCAGGAAGAGCCCCCAGACAGCAGCGCCCCAGCGAGGACACATCAGCCAATACTGCAAATTCTATCAAGAGTGGCATTTATTCTCCTCGTGGAGGTGCGGCGCTCCGGGGAGCTGGTGCTATTGTGCTTAGGAAGGAGGTCTGTCCGTCCGTCCGTCTGTCCAGCCGGCCCGGCCCCAAACGGGGGCGGAAGAGGGGCGCGGCCCGAGTAAAAATCCCGGCCTGTTCCGGGCGGGAATATATACAAGGCGGCGGGGCACAGGCGGGGGTGGGGGCGGGGCGGGCCGGCAGCCACAGCCCCCACCCGAGGGCCCCGCACCTCGGGCCCTACTTGTAGAATCAGTACAAAATAGGTGCTACCTAAACGTTCCTTCTACCTGAATTCTCTAAGTCGGTTATTGTGCTGCTTAGTTATGGGGGCGGGAAGGGGCCCATGGCTTTCCACGGCGGCAGGGTGTGGGGCAGAAGCGGGAGATCCTGGCGGGCCCACTGCCCTCCGGCCTTCTCCACAGGTAGGTAGACAGGAGTGCGGAGTGGGGTGGGAAAAGGGTGCCTGTGTGTGCTTGTGCATGCGGCACAGGCGGGCAGGCCCCAGCTGAAAACTGTGCGGGCACCACTCCTGGTGGTGGGGGTGGTTGGTAGTGAGCACTGCTACGCTGAGCCCGCGGGTCCGCCCTGGGAGGCAGCCAAGCTTAGTGCTGGGGAGGAGGCTGGTCACATCATATACTCCAGCCTGTTGCACTTTGGCTGAACACAGCAGAACTGCATTTGTCAGGGAATCAAAGGACTGGGTGCCTGTGAGGGCGGCCCTGATAGAAATGGGTCCTGAAACCCTGGATCTGTCCCGCCTGGGCTGGAAATGCAAGGCCCAAGTCAAAGGCAGAGCTCAATTGCGCCCAGCACGGAACTGGACTGAGATGGGGAGGAGGGGCCATCTGGGTACAGAGTCCCGGCGTTCTGCATCTGCGCCCCTTGCTGGCCCACCCAAGCCTGCTGGACTCCAGTCGCGGACACGCACCTCCCCAATGGTCGCCGCGTCTCTGGAGTACTCAGCAGCAGGCCTGGCACATAGTAGATGCCCAATAATTGGTGAGTGATGGGCGACTGACGGAGAGGTCTTGGGTGCAACCACTCCACCCCCGCCCCAGGAACCAAGACGCCCGCCGGGCTCTGCCGTAGGGTGAGGGGGGGAGGGGAAAAGAAAATCTGCGCGGCCGGCCCCGCGCAGCATCCCTGATCTAGGGGCCTATGGGGTGGGTAGGGCGGGGGGATACCTGATTCTCAGTAACTCTAGAGGCTGCGGCAGCTTCGCATGCAGTGCGCATTATTGCTCTATAGTCGGCATTGGACTAACTAAGAGGAAGGGGAGCGGGCAGCCCCGGGAAGGGTTGGGAGAAGGGGTGGGGCTGCATGCAGTGAGTGACGTCACAAAGGCGGCGGCCAATGGGGCGGGCCCTTGGGGCGGGGTCGCCGCCGAGGCTTTGGCATAGACGGGCAAAAGTTGGCAACCGAGTGGGGGCGGGACCTCGGGGGAGGGGCTGTCCTCTGGAGGCGTGGTCCGAGGCTCCCGGTAGGTGGAGCCCAGCTGGGGGCGGGGCCCAGGGGCGGAGGAAGTGATCCTTGACATCCCAAACCCCGGCGTCGGCGGGAAGGATGGAGGGTTCGGCGCCCCTCTCTGACCCGAGTGCAATCCGTTCATAAATAAAACGTATAAATACAGAAAGAAAGGAACCCGACGCGTCCGCAACCCCCCCCCAGGGGGCTTTACCCGCAAAGCGAATACAGAGGTGTGTGGAGGGAAGTGGCACGCCAGCCTGCCGGGCCCGGGTATCCGTCGTCCTCCAACACCGAAAGCCCGGGGTACGAGGGAGGGGGCCCCGGGGCAGGGCGGGAGGGGGTCTGAGTAGGTCGGATAAGTCCATGCGATTCGATATGCGTCATTATTATTCGTTATGGAGGACAGAGCCCGGGAAGCTGGGCTGGAAGAATTCGGATTTGGCAGAGGATGCGAGGCGAGGGTAGGAGGGCGGCTCGGACTGAGGCCCCAGAAAGAACCCGAGGGAGAGGGTGCCGCCGTCCGTCCCCCTCCCCGATCCCCAAAGCGTCTAACACTCCCGGGAGTTCCGCGAAGCCTGTGGGACAGGACGCTTCAGCGGCCCGTCCCCTCTCCTACTCCTTTCCTGGCCTCCGGCCCGGGAGGGACTCCCTGGACGTCTGGGCTGAAGACCCGGCCTGGAAGGCTTAGGAAGGGGTAGGGAAGACCTGAGTCTCTTGCAACGCGATCCAGGGGCACAGAGGAGGGAGGAGGGCGCTCCTTACCTCACCTCACCCCTGTCTTCAGAGACTCAACTAAAAGATGAGGTTCGGTTCTGGGTCGGGTCGACCCTATTGCTGGGAGAAAGCCTGGGGCACCCTGGAGGAGAGGGGAGGGGTTTTCGGGGTGGGTCTCCCCTCGGGACCCTATTGCTTGAAGGGGCTGGCAAGGCCCCCCGGCGGAGCGGGACGGGGCGGGCTCCCTCCCCCTATTGCTGTGAGGAGGGGCCCGCCCTCCAGCCCCTCCGCCCGGACGCCAGCGGAGACTTCCCTGGGGGCCCGTATTGCTGAGAGCCGACCTGGCGGGCGGAGGCCCCGCCGCCCTAGGCCTGAACAGGGCTGAGCTGAGGCGGAGCGGGGGCCGCCGGACCGCCGGCGCCGCCCTTGAAGCAGGCCGACTCGTAGTGCTTGTTGAGATAAGACTTGAGAGCGAAGCTCTTCTTGCAGCGCTTGCACTGAAAGTGCTTGAAGGCTGAGTGCGTCTGCATGTGCGCGCGCAGATTGGAGCGGTCGGCGAAAGCCTTGCCGCAATGCGCGCAGCCGAAGGGTTTCTCGCCGGTGTGAGAGCGCATGTGGCCCTGCAGCAGCCAAGGCCGCGAGAAGGCCTTGCCGCAAACGCCGCACTTGTGGCGCAGGTCGTGCGTGAGCAGGTGCATGGCCATGGCCGGCATGGACACATACACCTTGCCACACGTCGGGCAGCGCCGCGCCAGCTGGCTGTCCAAGCTGCGGTGCGTCTGCTTGTGGCGGCTCAGGTTCGACGACGTGGCGTATGTCTTGCCGCACTCGCCACACGCGTGTCGGCCACCAGAACCCGCGGCCCCGGATCCCGCACGCGCCTCGGTGCCCGCCCCCGCGCGCGTGCCGCCCCGGCCCCCGGATCCCGAGCCTCGCGTGCCCGGCCCGCCCCCGCCTCCAGCGTCGTTGTCGTCGGGGGCAGCTGCTGAGGCCGTGGAGGACGCAGCGGCAGCACTGGCGTTGGCAGCCTTACGGCGCGAGCGCCCGTCGGTGATGAAGAAGGCGTCGGCCGCGTAGCCCTCGCTGACTGCCGCGTCGCCGTTGATGTAGCCGCCGGCGGCTGTGGCCAGCTCCGGGCGAGGGGTGGGCGGCGGCGCCGAGCCCGAGGCCGCCGGTCCCAGCTCACCCCGCACAGCCGCAGCATACATGGGCTCCGGGGACGGCCCTTTGAGCAAGGCCGCCTCCGCGTCGCCATCGTATACCGACGCTGGCCCCACGTAGTCGCTGAGGTATCCTGCAGGCCAAGGCGGACAAACGGACAGAGGGAGGGGAACGGGGCAGAAGGCAAGACACACACAGGACAGGTGACAGAAGACAGACAGACACAAGCAGGAGATACGGGGTGGAAGAGAGGCGAACAGGAAGAAGGACAAAGAAGGGGTTGGGGAACCGCAGGACAGGGAGGATGGAGACGCCAGGAAGGGGGAGAGAGAAAACCAGAGAGGAAAGGATGAAACACGGCCCGGCCGGGCTCCGCCCCCGCTGCCCAAGCGCCCAGCCCTCGCGGGGGGAGGAGAGAAGCGCATCTTCGGGCGCGGCTGCCCCCCCTTCCACCGAGCCTCAAGGTCAGGGGGGAGGGGCGGCGCTTCCCTCTTCCTCCTCCCCCTTCCCCTCCCCCTCGGGTTCTCCCCACTTCAGCAATTTTCCCTGATTATGCAACATACTGCAGACCCGCCGCGCACAAAGCCAAGACCGCCAGCCCAGAGACCCCGACGGTCCCGCCTCTCTGGGGTCCTCGCCGGCTCTTCCCAGGCCTCCAGAGCCCGCTCCCAGCCTTGATGCTGTCCCCTTCTGGTCCCCTAGGTCTGCCAATAAGCCCCAGCATCTCTGGCCTTCATCTTCCACTCACTGGACTTAACAGCTCCTTGCAGCTCGACCCCATCTCCAGATCTTTCTCCATCCACTCTTCTCCCCTCACTCCTTCCATCATCTCGCACCTTGGGCCCTACTCTGTTCCACATTGCCCTCTCCTCCCCACATCCTAACCCCTTGCCGGGGCCTTCTCAACTTCCCCCCAAAAAAAGCAACTAGGGAGACTATGGTAATAAGCTACTAGGACATCCGCCAGAGGACACCTTCACAGGGACATTTTACAAGAGGGTGGCATCATTCATGCCAGTAACCGCTGTTGTTCCTTAGGTACAAAATGGATCTCACAACCTCAGAGTCATGAACACACACTTCCCATGATGCAGGCTCTGGCTCCTTCAGGGTTACACCCAGGCTCCCGGCCACAGTCAGTCCTAGAGTCCCTTCGTAGGGTAGACTGTACACTGACCCTGGCACTCACCACCCACTCATACAGGGTCGCATATGCACCCACCCCAGACACACTCTCAGTCACATGGTGCACAGCGGCCTCAGAGTCACATGGTCCCATGTAGTGGTACACAGGCAGGCACACACTCACACAGGGTCACACACAAGCGAACACAGTCACATGGCCACACGCAGTCACATGGGCCCACACAGGCTCCTGCTCCTGCAGGTCACACTTGCTCTGCCACCTCATGCTGCTGGCAGTCCCAGCCCTCTTGCCTGCATGTTAACAGTTGTCCTTGAACTTGAGCACCTTCACACAAAGAGCATCCCATGCCTCTGCCACCTTGGGCTTTCCCTTGCCACATCTTCTGCCCTGACCCTGACTTCAGGGAAGATACTGCTGCTGCCTCTGCTGGTACCTTGCCCCTGACAGGTGGGAGGCCTTGCTGGACCCCATGCCTACTCCTAGGGCTCCCAGCATTCCCCAGCTATCACCAGCAGGGTCCTGTAGGTGCAGTCAAGAAAAAAAAAATGGTAGTGCTGTGAGCCCAGGTTCCTGGGTGTGTGTCTGCATGTGTCTGTGTGGCTGTGTCATGTCAGCAGGTGTCTGTTAGGCTGTGTTTGTCTCAGCACAGGTCAGGGTGTGGGTCAGTGTGTGCCTTCAGTCTCTCCTGTTCCTGACTCTTTCTTCACCTCTTCTTCATCCCACACTCTACCCAGTCTTGGCAGAGGGTCTGGCCTGCCTCTTTGCTCCCCTTTCCCCAGCCCCTGCCTATTCTGGTTCCCTAGGGTCTATTTCTCCTGACCCTGTCTCTCCACCCCAACACTGGCCACCCACCCCACCACCAAAGCCCTGGGCCCTACCCCAGCCTCAGCTCAGGGCGCACCTTTATCGTGCAGTCGCACTCCGAGATCGCTGCGGGCCCGCCCGTAGGAGCTGTCGAGGTCTGCCGAAGAGAATGTGTCAAGTTTGACCTTCTTAACCAGGAAGGACCTGGGCATGATTCCTGCGGGGCTCCGGCGCTGCGGGCCTACGGAGCCGGGGCTCGGGGGGGCTGCGGCCTCGGTGGAGCCCCGTCACCATCCGAGGAGCGGCGGAGGAAGCACCGTCCCCTCTGGCCTGTGGATGCTGCCGCGCGAGTGCGGTCCTCTCTCCTCCTCCTTCCTGCCCTGCGTCTCCTCCTCTGCCCCTCCGGATCCCTCTTCTTCGTCTTCTCCTTCCTTCCTTTCTCCTCTCTTCTCTTCTTTCTTTCCTGCTTGCTTCCTTCCTTCCCTCCTCTGGTCCCGGCTTCCCAGCCCGCAGTGCCGCCCCTGGACAGGCGGGGGAGGAGGCTGGGGGGGCGGAGAGGGGGGAGCGGCTCCGTCCCGGGCCTGGAGGCTGCGAATGGGTGCAGGGCTGGCCCGGCCCCGCGGCCCCCTTCCCCTCCCCCCCCCCGCCGCCGCGGCGGAGCCTCAGTCAGCGGCCCCCCATGCCCCCGGGGGCGGCGGCGCCGGGCCCGGAGAACGCGGCAGCGGCGGCGGCAGGAGCGCCGGTAGCTTCAGCACCGCGGCCAGCGCCGGCTTGAGCAGCACCGCGGCCAGCGCCCGGGCGCGCTCAGTTGGAGCGGGCAGAGAAGGGCGGGCCACGGGGGCTTGGCCGCCCGGCAGGGGTCCTCGGCGGGGGTCTCTGGGAGGCTTGCTTTATTGTTCTGCTGCCGGAGCGATCGGCGACGGCGGCGGCGGCGGGCGGGGGGCGGGGGTCCTCGGGGCGGGGAGGGGTGCGCAGGGAGGGCGGGCCGAGGGAGGGATAGAGGGAGGGACGGGGGTCCGGGGGCGGGGCTCGGCACTCGGACAGCTCCCGGGCCGGCCTCCTAAGCCCGCAGCAGTCTCTGCCTGCGGCCGATCCCAGCCTCTGGCTTTTAAAGCCAGGCGCTGGGGGGAGGGGGAGGGGGAGGGGGAGGGGTGGGCGGGAGGGGAAGAGGCCGGCGGAAATGGCTGCGCTGGGCCGGGCCCGGCCAGGGTCTCCTGGGAGGGGTCCTGGGGATGCCTAGCTTCGGCGCGTGGGGAGTTCCGCCGCGCGGCTCGGGGAATGTCCGCCCAGTGTTCGGCGACATCGTCGAACGTATGGGCAGATGTGGAAACAGGTCTGATACCCACGAGCTCCGGATTCGGGTCATTTGGGGGGAACGCAGGCGGACCCCAGTCGGGTCCAAGCTGCCTAGCTTGCGGCCTGGAGGCGCAGCATGTTTGGAGGCGGGGGGAAGCAGGAGATCAAGGAGCGAATGCTGAGGCAGCGAAAGCGCAGTGTGGAAGCGCTGCGTGCGCCCTGTGCCGCAGTGTCTCCTGCCACTCGGTCACCCCGGCTGACCCCGTGCCCGCTGGAGGGGCCTCCCCGCCCCCCGCCTCGCTTTGGTGGGGCGGATGTGGAGCGCAGTGGCGTCGCAGTGAGCGTGGTGTGCAGGATGAGAGGTGCTTGCCATGCCCCTGCTCCAGAAATTCGGCTTCATTGGTGGTTTCCGCCCTTCCGCGCCGCTGCAGCTCCCCCCGGCGGCCCCGCAACCAGGCGGATAACCCTTTCCGCGGCCGCCCGCCTGGAGTTTGCAGCCCCCATGACGTCAAGCCCAGCGGCCAATGGCGGGACGCGGGGGACCGAGGCTTCACAATGGCCGCGCGCGGGTACATATGTCCCCAATTAGGGCCCTGCGCCGCCATTGTCCCCTCGCTGCCCCCGCCCGGCGTTGGGGTCTCTGTTCGCGGAGCAACGCTCCATACAGCCTGCTGCCACTGGGAACTAAGATCGCGAGGCGGCTCGGGGGAGCAGCCGGCAGGGACGCGCTCATCACTGAGCGGTGACCTTGTGTGGGCCGGCCCGGCGGGCGCGCGCGCGGGTGGCGCGCTAGAGTGCTGAGCTCAGCGCCGCGCCCCCTGCCTGGCGACCTGCCGCCTTCCGCATGCGCTGGGCCGAGGTGGGTGTGAGCTGCCCACCCAGCGCGGGGGCGCGTGGAAATCACCCGCCCGCTTTATGCCAGCGGCCTGGCTCGGCAGGGACCCGACATTCGTCTTACGTGGCAGGCGCTCCCGAGGGGCGGGGGCGGGCGCGGTCGCCCCCTTATCACCGAGCAGCAGCCGTCAAGGCTGGCGAGGAGCGGGGCGAGGGTCCCCCAAGCCGCGCCGCTCTTTGGCCTCGCTCCCTGGGGAGACTTGCGGAGGCGCAGCCGGAGGCGCGGGGCCAATTAGCATTTTGATTGCGGGACTGGGGGGGTCGCATCTGGAACGAGGCCTAATTACCCGGCTGGCCCTCGGGGCGCGGGCGGGACGTGCCAAGCGCTATCCCCTCATCCGGCGTTCTCTGCCTCCTCCCGGACACTGTCTCCGCCCCCAACTCTGTCCTTCCAATTTTAAGTCCTCCTCACTAGCCCAGTCCTCTCGTCATTCTCTCCCGTACTTTGTCCCTCTGGTCCCCTCATTCTGCTCCTCCCGCGTCTCAGTCCTTTGCGCCTCTCTTTCCTGGGTCCCATTGCTCTGTCAGCCTGCGCTCATCCCTCCTTTCTTCATCCCTTCATCAGACTTCTGTCCCTGCATCCCATCTCCTTGTCCACATCCCTGCCTCTCTTTGTACATCTCTCCGCCCCTGCCCCCAACTCCCTTGACGGACGAGATGACAGAGCATGGACACATGTGTCCCGCGGCCAGGCACTCCCGAGGGGACCATTTGGGCGGGCCTTGCTCGTGCTGGGGTGGATGCCGCAGCCCCCCCTCCCTCGGGGGGCGCTCGGCGGGGAGGGGCAGCTGGGTCCATGCCTTGGCCATCAGTCCACACTGGCCCTGGTTTGGAGCGCACATGTGGTCCAGGCACAATTACTTGAGCCTTCTTGCCCCACCTTTCTTCAAACATCGCACCCTACCCTCACTGGCCCTCAGCATCTGGAAGTCTTGGTGGCACCTCACTCCCTGGGTCCAGCCAGGAGAGGGTGGGGGGAAGGGCGTTGACTACTCTCAGATTTTGGAAAGTTTCAGATTCCTGCCAAGGCCTCTTGAAGTTCTTCAGCTAAAAACTGGAGCCTCCCAAGGCTTTGTTGAAGGGGAAGAGCCTATCAGGGGCCCCAGTCAGTGGATGCTCTAGGCCTTGCCTGTGCCTGGCCTCCTAACCCCTCCAGCAGAGCCTCCCTATGGGGACCTCTTCCTACTGCCCTGGTTCAACTTACAGCTCTGCCCAGCCCCTTACCCCTTGTCCGTTAGGAGTTCCAGTGTTGGATCTCTGACCTGCCCTCTCTGGTTTGAACCACTCCCAGCCCTGCCCAGGTCCCATGTTAACAGAGGGGTCCCACTGTTGTGTTCCTAGTATCCCCAATCATAGCAAAGCCCTTAAAACCTTTGGTGTGCCCATCCTCCTATGTGCACCTGTGCTGGTTTGGGGCCCTACCTAGGAAATCACTGGACAGCCTAGCTTGGAGGGCCCACCCTTCCTGCTGGGCAAAGAGGAGGTGATGGGCAGAGATTGAGGAGTCAGATAGAAAGCACAGAGTGGGGGCAGCTACTGTGGTGACTGGGTAGAGAGTGTAGTTGGGACAGAGGATGAGGTCATTAGCAGGAAGAAGCGGTCAAGGCTGAGAGGGAGTAAGGACGTGAACAATACTTAGACCAGCAGGAATTCAATCACACTGATGCGGGGGCGGGGAGGGGGGTGACAGCAAGGGCTGATGCAAGGTGGCTACTGTGATAGATGACTCTTGTCTCAGCTAGGACTTCCAGAATAGGGGTGGCTAAGGGCTCTGCAGCCTCTGTGAGGATTGAGGGGGCTGGTGCCTCATTTCCAGGCGAGGGGTCTCTGTTGAGACAGAAAGAAAGTAGCTCCCAGACAGGGCTGCCAGGGTGAGAATAGCAAGAAGAGAAGCTGCGTTCCTTCAGACAAGGACATGGGGGCTAGCTAGTGGCTGTCCGGAGCCCAGGGGAGGGTTTCAGGATAGGACTGTATATTCCAAAAGGTCTGAGGGGTGGGAAGAAGTGCCCTCTGAGTACGGAGTTTTGGAGGCTATGTTAGTCACTTTTTGTTGCTGTGACAAATAGCTGAGTAAAACCACCTTGAGAAAGAAAAGTTTATTTTGGATCATGGTGTCAGAGGTTTCAGTCATGGTCGATTGGCTCCATTGTTATCGGGTGTTGGTGAGGCAGAACATCATGGCAGAGCAAAGTTGTTCACCTCATAGTGGCCAGGAAGCAGAGAGGGATACAGGAAGGTGCTAGAGACAAGGTATATCTTTCCAGGTTATGGCCCTCACAGACCTACTTCCTCCAATTAGGCCTCACCTCCCAATAATGCCATCATAGTAGGAACCCATCAATGTATCATTCCATGGATGAAGTCAGAGCCCTCAAGAGCCAATCAATCACTTCCCAAAAGTCCCACCTACAAACACTGCTGCACTGAGAACCAGGTCTTCAACAGAGTCTTTTAGGGGACATTGCATATCCAAACCATAACAAAGGCCAAGATCACAGGAAAGTCTGAAAATTGGTTATAGTGTCTCAGGCTTGTAATCCCAGCACTTGGAGAGACTGAGGCAGGAGAATCAAGAGATTGAAGCTAGACTGGGGTACATAGTGAGACCATGTCTCAAGAAAAATAGGGTAGGGGGAGTTGCATCACAACACAACCGTAGATGTCTCCATTAAAAGAAGCAAGCTGGAAACGGTTCAAGCCTGTAATCTTAGCCACTTGGGAGGAAGGGGATGAGTTGGATCAGAGTTCAAATCCAGCTCACACAAAAAATTCCTGAGATCCCCTCTCCACTAATGGTTGGGCTCAGTAGTAAGTATCAGTCTCATCCCAGCTACACAGAGAAGCACAAATAGGAAGATTGCATTCCAGGTCAGCCCAAGCATAAAGTGAGACCCTATATCAAAAATAACACAAAGCCAGGAGGCAGAGATCAGGAGGATCGAGGTTCAAAGCCAGCATGGGCAAATAGCTCTGGAGACCTTATTTAGAGAATGGCTCAAGTGGTAGAGCCCCTGCCTAGCAAGCACGAGGCCCTGCATTCAAACCCCAGTACCATCAAAAAAAAAAAAATGGCAGCCAAAAGCTAGGCATGGTGGTGTATGCCTTTAATCCCAGCACTCAACAGGCTGAGACAGGAGGATTGTAAATTTGAGGCCAGGCTGGGCTACATAGCAAGGACCTGTCAAAATAAATAAATAAAAGCCAGATGCCAGTGGCTGATACCTGTA